CATCAAATAGCCCTGCTGTTAATACTGCTCCGCTTCTCCAATTTGAGGCCTACTGACTGTGGGGTTTAGACTCTTTATGTGAATTGGAGTCATGAGAAAACGCAAGCACATATGGGCTAGCCTCTGCAGAGCTTTGAAGAACTCATTTGACCCAAAGGATCCCGATTCTCACTTGATGGATGTCAGGAACCTTACAGAGGAAGGCAAGAAACTTCATCCACAATGACTGCTCTTTTTGCCATTTTGGTTTTGATGCACACATGGGATCTTTCTCTAGATCCTTCAGATGCTGAGAATCTAAGCAACAGCCTCACACAGGTTCAAGAGGTTGATTCAGACACATCCTTTCCAAAGCAATTAAGCATAGAGCCAAGGGTGATGCCCATTCATTTTCATTTGAAAACTGTTTTCTTCAGGCTTCACAAAGGGGTGTCCTGAGGCAAAGACCTTCCTGACATTCAGGGCAACAGAAAAATAATTCAGGGCAAAAAGTCCAAAGTAGGGTTTCTGGACTGAGACTCTACTGGTCACACTGATATCAGAGTTTTCTAAGATGCTTGCCATTCCCTTCAACTATCCAGTACATGGCCATGTCACAGACCTTGGAGGTGGTACATATCTTGGACACAACACCATGAGCCTATTCTGGAGAGTGGCCAGAATTCAGGAAGAAAACAGGAACTTAGGAAGATAGCAGGTGTTTCCCATCGATAAGGCAAGCCGCCGTCCATTCATAAATTGGGCAGGATGAATGCTGGGAAGCTTTCTACTAGACAGGACACATCCATTGATGCATTCTCTTTTCTAATGTCTACAACCACGGACACAGTGGGATACACAGACATAGAAACACTCACCTTGTCAAACGACTTACTAGAAAAAGTCCACTCCATACCAAACAAACTGAATTTCCTACGTATTCTCAGAACATGAGACAAAACCACAAACCCACACCCACACCCACAAAGGCACCTACTTCCCCCAAGTAGGTCTGTGACTATCCGGAGTGTAATCTGAATGGTGGGCCATACTATGTTCCCATGAAATGTCCTGTCCTGTCTCAGATCTGGTCTCCTTGGCCAACTCTGTGAAGTTGTCAGTAGCCAGCGGTGAGCCACTACCTGCTTTCTCAGGAAAGGCCCCTCTTTAGAGCTCTCCTGGCCTGTGGCCATCCTCACATCAGTAGGTACCAAGAAAAACTGACTCTGTCCTTGAAAAATCTAAACAAGTGAGCCCACTGAGACTGGGACTTGGACTGGCTCTGGGTGCCTGGCTTCTTGGATCCCAACTTCAGAGAGTTCCATCACCAAGGAAGTGAGGTGAGGTCACTTCCTTCAGGAACTGAATGAGGTCACTGCCTTGGCAACCACTTTGTCCTAACAGTTGCTTCCAAGGGTCCCATGAGATGGAGGCTGCCCCTACTTCCTCTGACACTTTCACAATTTAGAATGTTACATCAACCATAGGCACATGGGAACAGCTCTCCACACAGGCCTGGTTTGGTCCATCTTCTCTACATTAAGAAGAGAGAGGCTGATTCAGACACAACCCTTCAGCCTGACCAGGTTGTTTGCCATGCAAGATGACTTTTGCTCTCTCAGGTCTTTCATAGCTGCCTACATCTGCTCCAGGTATCAATTCTGCATGGACCTTTGAGGTTCTCAGCAGTTGGAAGATCCCCAACATTCCTGTATTGTAAGACCAAATCTGTCCCTGCACTTCTGTAAAGTTAGATTGAGGGAACACTGTATGGATAGGGTTAATAACATGTTCGATTTGGGTTAGGAATCATTCTGCTGGATGAATAATGGTATTGGGAACCTGCGATATTTATAAGAATATAAAGGTGAAATATAAGTATGAAAACAGAAATCTAGGTAAGATTTGAAGCCTAGAAGGGCATTGGGCCCTTGACTGGGATACTTCACGTTGAATTATGTTCTGCACAGAGATCTCAGATGAATCGATAATCAATGGCATAGGACCTTGTACCTTGGATGATTGAATGTAGAAGAGGACATCCAGTCAAAAAGGGATAGTCGGTAGGATTAGGAAGAGAGTTGGTAGGTTTAGAAAGAAGAGTGAGTATAGGATTTGGACCAAAAGTTCTTTAGAAATAGGGTTTTGGTTAGAGAGTGAATGTAAATGTCAGCACATGGGAAGAGTCAGTCACAATGATGAACTGGGGTAAATAGGTAGGAAAGCAGATATCAATAGAGACATTACGAAATCAGGCAAAGTATAAAGTGAGTGATAGGATTAGATATTTTCAACAGGGTTGAGGTCGAATATATAATCTTAGGAAGAAACAAATATGTAGTCACCAATAGGATTGACATTTGAGAGCATTAGGCAACCTGGACATGGATGTTTTTAGTAATCCATGCTCAATTTCAATTTAGGCTTTGGTACAATCATAAGTGTGAACTTTGCATTTTGTGTCCAGAATATTACTGTGATAAAATGTATATATAGATCAGGTGACATGAGTATTTCTTCCACCATTTCTGGGAGCAATATTTTGAAGATGTATAAATTAGTATTGGGGGTACAAAGAGGTGTACCCTGTGTCTATGAATATAGAGATAATGCATGAATAGACCATACTGTGAATAAATAATATAACTGGTTCCACTTTAAATAATGGATTGAATTGATATCTGAAAATATATAAGAAATCTTATATTGATACACAATCATTCATTTCAACCAGTTATACATCTAATGGTAATATTAGTGTTATGGTTTATCATGAAGTGTGTGTGAGTTTTGATTCAAAAGTGATTATGGAAATCGAAAATAATGTGTTTGGAAAGAAGTTTCATGAAAAGACCAGTCAAGAAACATGGAGGAATGCATGTATTCTGAAGCAGGAAGTGATTGAAAGTGAAACAAATGCCTATAAATTTGTGAACTTGTGGATGAAATATATATCCTATGATGTGCATAAACTGAAGAAATAGTAATGTACCAGTGTTGAATAAAAATGAACGTCAAAATACACATCATGTCCCATAGGAATCTACTTGCATTGATGTTAAACTGGGTCAGTTACTGTAGAAATATTGGGATATGTATGCACCATTCACTAAAGTTTGTTGTCAGTACTAGGAACCAAACATGTATTTCAGGTGGATGAATATTTCTGAGAATAATCTTGTGAAAAGTTGATTATAAATCCACATACATGAAATTGAATGTATTTAGGGAGTACATAATAAGACACATATATTTCATATTTTGAAAAATCTGAAGAGTGTATATATATATATATACACACACACACACACACACACAGACATTAAAAAGTAGCAATATATATGCCAATCGAAATTCATCATGAAATATACATCATCCACAAATCCAAAAATATTCATTTTACTGAACATGGATTTATGTATCATGTTGTTCAAGTAGGAAGCTCACCCTTAGATTAAATTTTCAATTCCAACAGCTTTTAGGAGGAGTGATCTCTTCTTACAATTTGTATCTGCCAAGTCAGCCATCTCACAAGAATGTACGTGTGATACCAGGTAGGATTCTATATGTGCATATAAAAATAACTGTGCTGAATAGGCTACAGAGAAAGGGAGACAGGAATTTACATACGTGTTAACTTTAAAAACTCATGGAGAATTATTACAATGAAAATTTGACTAGATTTATAACACATACCCTTGATAAAGCAAAAGGCAAGTCCAAGTGTTCACCATGCCTCCTATTAACTGCTGTATTTCTATTCTTTAGGGTTATTTTTCTCCATCATATTAGGGTTAGTAGTCAGAGTCTAGTAGGGTATGTGTTAGTGTCAGAGATTCAGTATTTTGAATGGAAAATAGGAAAATGAATCCAATGTGTATGCAAATATATGCTACACAAATATCTTCACACTCTCATCCAGAACAATGCCTTGACATTACCTTCGCCCCAAGTAACACACAATTAGAGGAGATGAGTTAGAAAATCTGTGAATACATATCTGGAATGGAAAATGCTCAGGAGTTCACAACCTTGCAGGTGGTAGAGGAGATTCCAAAAGTAAGGGACAGGGTAAACACTCCACAAACATGGAGCTCTGCTGGCCTAATGACTTCTTGAGAAACTGCCTCTGAGGTTGGGCACTTGAAATATGCTCTGTAATTTATTGGTTTGTGATTTTAAGCAAATTAATGAATTTCTGTAAACCCTGATTTCATCTTTTCATATAGGAAAATGAGATAATAATACCTTTCTCAATATTGTAATGAGAGCTTGGTATAATATTATGCGTTAATGTTTTCAGTATAATAGATGCATATTGATTGCTAATTTCTCATCCCTTCTTGGAAACACTAAGGAAAGTTCACTTTTCTTCTTTATTCAAGATTTCCTACATTCTGTTGCCTTATAGATGTTGTTCTAAGGAAAATATTAAGTTCAGTGATTGTGATATTATAAGTTCTTATAAACCAATTTTTTCCATTGGTAAAGGAAAATTAAATTATAAATTACTATGAAAAACTTTCTTTAATCTTTGTTTTTCAAATTCAAAATATAATAATTTTAGAAGAGGATAAGTTTCATGTATATAGTATTAAAATTCAGTTCTTTGATGCATATTCTACCACTAAAGGCAACAAGTGCTACTATTCTTCATTTTTTGGTTGTAGAAATAAATAGCTTTACTTAGTTTATTTATTTTTAAATTTTACAGCTTTATTTATTTTTATGTGATGCTGAAGATCGAACACAGTTCCACACTCATGCTAGGCAAACACTTTACCACTGAGCTACAACCACAGTTCTCAAAACTTTTATTAACCAATTAGTATTTGACAATTTTCTGCATTCCATATACTTGGTTAAAGATCACAGATTCTAGAGACAAGCAGAAAAGAGTATCCCAACTCAGCTAATCATTGGATGGATTATATTGAACAATTTATGTAATATCGTGCCTTTGTTTCCTCATCTTTAAAACCTGATAATAGGGCCGCCGGCGGGCCGGGCCCGCGCACAGCGCCCGCATGTACAACATGATGGAGACGGAGCTGAAGCCGCCGGGCCCGCAGCAAACTTCGGGGGGCGGCGGCTGCGGCTGCAACTCCACCGCGGCGGCGGTGGGCGGCAACCAGAAGAACAGCCCGGACCGCGTTAAGCGGCCCATGAACGCCTTCATGGTGTGGTCCCGCGGGCAGCGGCGCAAGATGGCCCAGGAGAACCCCAAGATGCACAACTCGGAGATCAGCAAGCGCCTGGGCGCGGAGTGGAAACTTTTGTCGGAGACGGAGAAGCGGCCGTTCATCGACGAGGCCAAGCGACTGCGAGCGCTGCACATGAAGGAGCACCCGGATTATAAATACCGGCCCCGGCGGAAAACCAAGACGCTCATGAAGAAGGATAAGTACACGCTGCCTGGCGGGCTGTTGGCCCCCGGCGGCAACAGCATGGCGAGCGGGGTTGGGGTGGGCGCCGGCCTGGGCGCGGGCGTGAATCAGCGCATGGACAGTTACGCGCACATGAACGGCTGGAGCAACGGCAGCTACAGCATGATGCAGGACCAGCTGGGCTATCCCCAGCACCCGGGCCTCAACGCGCACGGCGCCGCGCAGATGCAGCCCATGCACCGCTACGACGTGAGCGCTCTGCGGTACAACTCCATGACCAGCTCGCAGACCTACATGAACGGCTCGCCCACCTACAGTATGTCCTACTCGCAGCAGGGCACCCCTGGCATGGCGCTTGGCTCCATGGGCTCGGTGGTCAAGTCCGAGGCCAGTTCTAGCCCCCCTGAGGTTACCTCTTCCTCCCACTCCAGGGCGCCCTGCCAGGCCGGGGACCTCCGGGACATGATCAGCATGTACCTCCCCGGCGCCGAGGTGCCGGAGCCCGCCGCCCCCAGCCGACTTCACACGTCCCAGCACTACCAGAGCGGCCCGGTGCCCGGCACAGCCATTAACTGCACACTGCCCCTCTCGCACATGTGAGGGCTGGACAGCAAACTGGAAAGGGGAGAAACTTTCAAAGAAAAACAAGGGAAATGGGAGGGGTGCAAAAAAGGAGAGTTAGAAACAGTATGGAGAATAACCTGGTACGCTCAAAAGAAAAAAAAAAAATCTCTTCACCCACAGCAAATGACAGCTGCAAAAGAGAACACCAATCCCATCCAAACTCACGCAAAAACCGCGATGCTGACAAGAAAACTTTTATGAGAGATCCTGGACTTCTTTTTGGGGGACTATTTTTGTACAGAGAAAACCGGGGGTGGGGGGGTGGGGGGGGATTGGACCTTGTATAGATCTGGAGGAAAGAAAACTACGCAAAACTTTTTAAAAGTTCTAGTGGTACGGTAGGAGCTTTGCAGGAAGTTTGCAAAAGTCTTTACCAATAATATTTAGAGCTAGTCTCCAAGCGACGAAAAAAAAGTTTTAATATTTGCAAGCAACTTTTGTACAGTATTTATCGAGATAAACATGGCAATCAAAATGTCCATTGTTTATAAGCTGAGAATTTGCCAATATTTTTCAAGGAGAGGCTTCTTGGTGAATTTTGATTCTGCAGCTGAAATTTAGGACAGTTGCAAACGTGGAATGAAGAAAATTATTCAGATTTGGACATTTTAATAGTTTAAAATTGTACAAAAGGAAAAAAATAGAACAAGTACTGGCAAAACCATCCCTGTGGTCTTGTTGAAAGGGCAAAAGTTTTAGATTGTACTAAATTTTTTAACTTACTGTTAAAAGCAAAAAAAAAAAAAAAAAAAATGGCCATGCAGGTTGACATCGTTGGTAATTTATAATAGCTTTTGTTCAATCCCACCTTTCCATTTTGTTCAGATAAAAAAATGAAATTACTGTGTTTGAAATATTTTCTTATGGTTTGTAATATTTCTGTAAATTTATTGTGATATTTTAAGGTTCCTCCCCTCTTTATTTTCCGTAGTTGTATTTTAAAAGATTCGGCTCTGTATTATTTGAATCAGTCTGCCGAGAATCCATGTATATATTTGAACTAATACCATCCTTATAACAGGTACATTTTCAACTTAAGTTTTTACTCCATTATGCACAGTTTGAGATAAATAAATTTTTGAAATATGGACACTGAAAAAAAAAAAACCTGATAATAAAATTCTTATCTCAAAGGGTGGTTTTGTGATTAATAATTAATTATTTCATGTTAATAACATACTTAGAACATGTAGGTATTATTTGTTGATACATATTTCCTATGAGTAAATGCTATCATGAATTGTTAAATATTCACAATATTCCTTTGAAGCAAGTACTCCTACTACCATTTTTTATGGTGAGGTATTTGAAGTTCAGGAACTTTAGTAGATTTTATAAATGCAGAAAATTAGCAAAGAAGACTTCAGAGCCTGGTTTCTTAATCACCTAAATTACTCCATATTTATTATAACAAAACCTGATCTATGCTCTTATCTATTATATATCTATTATATACATCCCTGTATATTCAACTATACAAAATTATATTATATTTTAAATACATCTCAAACTCCTTATTAGCTAAGGTTATCTTTATCAATACTCTTAATTCAGGCTCATATGTCATGCTACATTTTTGATAAGTATACCTGAAGGCCTATGTGTTAAAGGTTATTTGCAATACTGTGCTGCTATTGAGAGGTGGTGGAACTTTTAAGAAGTGGTGCTTAGTGGAAGAAAGTTAGGTCACTGTGCTTTATGTTGTGAAGGGGAACCCATCTGCTTCCTCTCTCTGCTTCTAGCCACTATGAGGTGAGCAGCTTCCTCAGCCATGCACTCCCCATCATGATAAGCTATTTTGACCCAGGTTCCAAACCAATGATCCAATGAACCATAGGCTGAAGCCTCCATATCTGTGTACCTTCCTTTTTTTTTTTTTTTGATTTATCACAAGCATATGCTAAAACAGTGGAAAGCTGATTGACACACCAGGTCAGTTATCTACCATTATGTATAAGAAGGAGAGTGGAGTAAAATTTGAATATGGAGCCTAATGGAAATGCTGGTTTCATAAGAATTAGCTTCAAGACACTCTTTTATCTTTTTATCGCCAAAAATTCAATTGTATTCATAAATATAGAGAATAGTATAATGGACTCGCCTGGGCAATTATCAACTTATAGCTAATATTATTTAACCATATTTTCCAGTCCTTTCAAATTATTTTTGAGGTACATTTCAAATAGCATAGCATTTCATCCATAATAATTTCAGTACAAAATAGTGGCACTTTAACAAAACTTAACTGCAATTCCAATTCCATGCATAAAACAATAAAAACTGCAGAATTATAAACAAATTTCAAGTCAGTATCCACATGTCCCTGATGGTCTTACATTATTTTAAAATATTTGTTTTATGCCACATATAGAAAAATCAAGTTTTGAGATTAGTTTCATTAAATCTACCTATATTTTCCTTTTCATTTCTTATGTAAGAAAGTAGAAATTTTTGTCTTGTAAAATGGCCTATATTCTGAATTTTTATCTTACTTTTTTTTACTGCAACTTGAGTATCACTTAATTAGTTTTATGAGCATTGCATAACTTGCAAACTTAGACATTCAATCTAGATGCTTGATTATATTGATTTTATTATATTTGATTTTTTCATAATAAACATCTTTTTAATAATTTAATATTATAATGTTGAATTATAATTTATCTAATGCTGCCCAGAGTAATTTTGAATTGAACTAAAATTAAATTACTTTTATTTAGGAAAATATATTTACATATTTTTAGATTTCTATTTGGAGTAATTCAGGATTCTGCATTTTGGGTTGTTTTCATCAGTATGATATTTAATTAAAGAAATTTTCATATTCTATGTCAGCTGTGCGTCCCTCATGATCCATTTGTGAATTTTTCTGGGTATATCACATACATATTTCAGCAAGAACAGTATTAATCTCTCTTCTTTTGCAAAGTACCAGCGTTCTTTACTAAACTCACTACCCACTGCTTTCTGTAGTCTCTGTTTATTTGAAGACAAGTAAATACTAAATGTTTAACTATGAAAGGAGATTAACACTCTTAAGGGATTTGGAGCATGGAGTGAATATATTGGGGTGCTTAGTTTTACCTCTCATTAGACAAGCAAACATATAAAAACTGGAAGAAAATTATATCTAGTTCCTTTTCCTATATTTTCCCTTGGGAATGAGAGTTTCACTGGAGCTTGCAACAGCACTGGCATGCTCTCAAGTCCTGCTTAATGTATGGGAAGGCATATTTTCATGATTTCTCTAAGAAAGGGAGAAAGATGCATACTGCCATCTTTCTAACACCCAAATCACACACATGGAGTCACCTTATCTCAGGGAAATTTCCACCATGACAGAACAAAGGGGACTAAAAATTTAACAGAAAACTAGGGGCTAAAATATCCAGCAATTTAGAGCCTGATCTCAATGCCTTGAATTACAATTCAAAGTACACAGAAAGCAGTTCAGAATGCAGGATGTATTCCATTCAGCTCACTGCCAGAAATAAATTGTTGCAGTGTGTGTTAATCAAAGCATCCAGAGTGACTCAAGGATGCACTGGAGTAGAGGGCATCACAGTAGTTTGTTTAGGCATCAGAAAAACAACCCTAGCCATATTTTCAAGGCCAGGTAGTTGAATCACATTTTGTAAAACTCCATTGAAAACCTAAACTTTATTGTTGAGTATTTAAAATTATTTTAGGACTGGGACTTTTCTAACAATAAAGTTTTAAGTAACATAACAAATAACTTGTTCCCAATAGGAATACATGTAGCAGAGGTGAATAAAAATATTCACGTTTTTCTCTTTGGTGGAGGCACAAATTACTGAGGTTCTGAAATAAACAGAGGTGTGAATAAGAACACACTTATACTAAACATAAACATATAAACAATTATAAAACATTTTATATTCTATATTATAAATTATAAAAAATAAACAGTATTATTAATAAGTAATATAAAATAGGTAACATTGATGTTCTTATGCAAATATCTGAAATCGTTTACATACATTACAAAATATTTCTAAAAATACCATTAAAAATTGGAAAGCCATCTGAATGATATTTATACAGGATGGTCACTGACCACTGACTATGGTAGGGTAAATTCCTTTGCCATTTTTCGTTATCACATTCAAAGCTTTAATAGTAATTGAATCTAAAGTGATTTTCTGTTAATGAAATATGAGACCTTAGATAAATTATAATTTCCTTCTGAATATATGGAAACTTGGAGAATTATTTCTGTCAGGTCAGTGGTGGTGACTTAGGTACAAAGTACCAAGCAGCTCCCACGTGCAAAAGAAACATCAATCAGGCACCAAGGGAACTGCCTGTCAATCAGCAGGGTCTCCTGGCCAATCCTGGATCTCAGCCAGTTCCCCCAACCAACTTCAGTGGGATAAGGAACTCTAAAAACCCCTTTTCCTGTCCCAGTCTCTTCCCTTCCTGTTGTAAGCCCCATAAAAGTCCAGTCCAGTAGAGCCCCTATGCGGTTTCTCCTCAAACCCTCTTCCTTTCCGTTCTGATAGAGTTCCACCTGGGAGTGGAATCTCAATAAAGCCTCATTCAGCAGCCTCTTTAGATTTGCCTCCTTTTTGTTGCTGCTGTTGCCTGACCTTAAAATTTCCATGATTAATTTTATATATTTGCCAATTTTACATTTAGGCCTAGATCTAAAGCATTCAATATTTCTATATTTTACACTTTTATTAGAGATTGCTAGGTTAAACCCTAATTAGAAAAAATGTTTTAGGTGAAAGATAATTGTTCATGATCTGACTCTTCTCCTATAAGATTGTGCTAGAAAAGCCCTAGGCAAACTTTCATAATGTATCAATTTAATAATAAAATTTCTAATAATCAACTTTATTTGTTCATTAATCGTTACATTCCTTCATTTTATATGTGGAATAATGGATTAAAATTCTACTATAGCTACTGATATTTTGATGTATACAATGTAAACTCCCCTCAATATCATAAAGTCTATATATGACAAACCAAAATCTATCATCATAGTGAGTGGAGAAAAACGTAAAACATTTTCTCTAAAATCAAGAACAAGACAAGTGTATCCACTCTCACCTTTCTTATTCAATATTGTTCTTGAAACTCTAGCAGAGCAATCAGGCAAGAGAAGGAAATTAAAGGAACACCAATAGGAAAAGCAGTAGTCAAGTTATTTCTGTTTGTTTATTACATAATACTATACTTCAAAGACTCAACAAACACCACC